CCCTTCATCAGAAAAGGCTTTTCTGATGAAGGGTCTAGGCCCGAAACGTCAGCCTCTCTGCTCCTATGATGCTGCTTGGCCTGCTGTGTTCATCCAGCCCTGCACCTTGTTGTCAGCTATTTGTAAAGGCAAGTTATTCACCTGATAAGGAAACTTTCTTATCGCTCATCAAATGTGGTTGTACTGGGCAGAATTACTACAGTCACATTGTAGTGCAAAGGTTTTTTGCTAAGATTTCAACTACTTACTATTTTTAATGCTGACTTAGATGATTCACTTTGGGCTTAAAAAGGATGTATTGGAATGATTTCTGTGTACCAAACAGCTCCAAGCAATGGAGATCCAACACAAGTCAATTTACATGTCATAGACAGGTATAGAAAATAATTTAAAATACTAATTGGTTAGGTAGAGGGAAACTATTTCCGCAGGATGGGGAGACTTGGACTTGGGACTAAAGTCTAAAAATTAGAGTCTTCTCGGAGAGGCAAATGATGAAACATTTTTCTGCAAATGACAGTTGATTCTAGATCAATTGTTAATTTGCTGAACAGAAATATGAGGATATGCAGTAAATGGAGTAAGGAATCTGATGGTCCATGATCTAACTAATTGGTGGAACAGGCTCGGGGTGCTAAATTGTGTAATCATGTTCCTGTGTTCAAACAGAAGACTTGATATTACACATCAGTAAACATTCTGATGATGTTTGTACAGAAAATATACATTATAAACTGCAAATTATTTTTATATATTCCAATCTGTTGAATATGACCAATATCAGTAGCAGAGAAAACAAAACATAAGATACATCAATTCAGTGTGGTCTTACACCAACAGACAATCAGGTCTGAACCTGGGGTTGTTTAGTCAGCCTGTGAAATTATTTTTCACTGAAACCTCTGGTTGTTTATCTCACCAATGCATTTTTTGAATCCTTTAGCACAAGTTATTGAGGCCATGACGTAACGTCATCCTCAACTTCAGGATTACCTGAAGCGTTTTACACACAATTAGGTACTTCCTAAATGTAGCAATGTAGGAAAGACATTAGCCAGTTTGTGCACTGTAATCTCCTGCAAACAGCACTATGATAATGACAAGTGAATTAGTTTTTTGTGATGTTGATGATGGATGACTATTGGCCAAGTAACTCCCGTGTTGTTCTTACTTTAATGAGGAGGGAGTTTTTACATTTACGTAAGAAGTAGAGAGGGTCTCCGGTTTCTGTTTCATCTGAATGAAATGCACCTCATTGGTGCATTGGTCTGTCAGTACTGCAGTGGAGTTCAGCCTGGTCAGGCTTTGTGCTCAACTTTCCAGAGTGGAACTTGAACCCACAACATTCTGACATTCAACATTCACCCTAATCTGCTTTATTAGTCTTTTTTCTCCATTTTAGGAATAAGACTAGGCCACTCAACCTACTGAGCCTGCTCCACTATTTAACACCATCATGATCATGGTTAATCGAACCCTTAAATGCCAATTATCTTTTGCCTTTCACTTGCATTATCCGCATAACTCTTTGTGCCATTGATAATCAGAAATCTTTCAATCTCTAGTTTCAATAGACTGAAGGACTGAACTTTCACAGCTTTCTGGGGTAGTGAATTCCAAAGATTCACAACCCCTGAGTAAAGAAACTTTTCCTCCGCTAAGTTCTAAATGGCATCCCCTCAATTTTACATTGTTCCCAAGATCTGTCTTTAATGTGTCATGATGACCAAACTTCAGCCTGATGATTTCTGTATGCAGCAATTACAGAAGTCGATATAAAGCGACAAGTTTTAGCACAAGGGTTGATTGTTCACCATTTGTATGTTTTAATTTACATTTGGCTGAGTGTGACACAAAAGAATCCTCATAAAATTGAAGTAAATGGGAATCAGGGTGTGGTTGGAATCATACTTAGAATGAAGGAAGTTAATTATAGTTTTTGCACGCGAATCTTTTCAATCCAAGGATGCCATTACACTGAAGAACTCGAAGTGCTACATTTCTCCCCCTGACCTCCATTCAAGGCACAAAAACTTCCATATCAGACAGGGGTTCATCTGTCAACTTGGTCTACTGTATCCGCTGCTCCTGAAGTGGCCTCCTGTACATCGGTGAGACCAAGCGTAGACTCGGAGACCGTCTTGTAGAGTATCTGCGCTCTAAATGCGACAAACAACAACACCTTCTGGTTGCAAACTATTTTAACTCAACCTCCCACTCCCTGGGTGACATATTCATCCTGGGCCTCCTCCAGTGCCACAATGACACCACCCACGAACTGAAGGAGCAACACCTCATATTCTGCCTCGGGAGCCCACAGCCTGATGGATTCACCAGTTTTAAAATCTCCCCACCCCCCTAGCCTCATCCCATATCCAACCCTCCCTCTCATCCCCGCCTCCTTGACCTGACACAACCTGTCCATCTTCTCTCCCATCTATCCACTGACCAATCCCCACCACTCCCTACCTGCACTCACCTATCACCATCCCACTTGACTTCCCCAGCCACACCCCTCCTCTCTGTATTTATTTCCCAGCTCCCTTCCCTCTCCCCATTTCTGAAGAAGGATCCCAACCCAAAACATCAACTTTCCTCTTCCTCTGATGCTACCTGACCTGCTGTGTTTCTCCAGCTCCCACATTTTATTGAATTATAATTGTTTTTAAAAACTCAATTTCAAAAACTGAGAAAAACCTCAGGATTTGTTTGTCGACTATCTTTATCATACTTACGTTAGAAGAACAAGCAGATGATTGAGAAGGTGTGAGCTATGTTAGAACCCTTGCTAATGTTTCATTATTTTTATCTTTATTTTTATTCTTTTATTAATTTTGAATTGTGAACTGGAAATGACTTGTGGATTTTGGAACAGCTTGTAGATAAAGGGAAAGAGCAGATCAAACAAGCGTTGTTTGTTTGTGAGGCCAGGCCTGGAAGATAACTGCAGGCTGATCCTTGACTGCAAAGTTTTTAACAGACACTGCAACAAGAGTATTGTGTTTAAACAGATAGCAGAAGTTAGCGATTAATGAGGTTCAATACCTGGAATTAGTTCTGGCAAGTCTAGAAGAGACCCTATGTTCAAGCAGATTGTCATGGAGTCACACAGCATAGAAACAGTCCCTCCAGTCCAATGAGTCCATGCCAAACATAATCCCAAACTAAACTGGTCCCACTTGCCTGCTCCTGGCCCATATCCCTCTAAACCTTTCCTATTCATATACCTATCCAAATGTTTTTTTTTTAAATGTTGTAATTGTACCTGCATCCACCCTTCCTCAGGAAGTTGGTTCCACACGCAAACCACCCTCTGTGTAAAAAAAAAAAAATTGCCTGTCATGTCTTTTTTAAATCTCTCTCCTCTCACCTTAAAAATATGTCGCCTAGTCTTGAAATCCCCCATCCTGGGGAAAAGACACCTACCATTAACATTATATTTTATAAACGTCTTTTAGGTCGCCTCCCAACCTCCTACACTCCAGTGAAAAAAGCCCTAGCCTATCCAGCCTTTCTTTATAACTCAAACCTTCCATACCCAGCAACATTCTGGTAAATCTCTTTTGAACCCTCTCCAGCTTAATAATATCCTTCCTATAACTGGGTGACCAGAACCAGATAAGATGTTCCAGAAGAGGTTAGGAGAGTGGCCAAAGAAGTGGCAGATGGAATACAACGAGGCAAAGTGTGAGGTAGCTTTGATAGCACGAATAGAGGCATGGACTATTTTCTAAATGGGGAGAAAATTCAGAAATCTGAAGTGCAAAGGATCTTGGGAGTTCTAGACCAGGATTCTCTTAAGGTAAACTTGCAGGTTGGGTTGGTAGTTAGGAAGGCAAATACAATGTCAGCACTTATTTTGAGAGGACCAGAATATAAAAGCTGAGGGGATGTACTTCTAAGGCTTTATAAAGCTCTGGTCAGACCGCATTTAGAGTATTGTGAGCAATTTTGGTCCCCATACCTCAGGAAGGATGTACTGGCCCTGGATTGGATCCAGAGGAGGTTCACGAGACCAATACCAGGAATGGAAGGCTTAACATATGAGGAACTTTTGAGGACTCTGGGTCTATACTGGTTGGAGTTTAGAAGGATGGGGGGTGAAGTGGGATCTAATTGAAACTTCCAGAATAGTGAACGGCCTGGACAGAGTGGACGTTGAGAAGATGTTTCCATTAGCAGGAGAGACTAGGACCCAAGGGCACAGCCTTAGAGTAAAAGGAAGACCTTTTATCATAGAATCTCTGCAGTGTGGAAACAGGCCATTTGGCCCATCAGGTCCACACCACCCCTCCGAAGAGCATCCCACCCAGACCCATTTCCCTAACCATGCATTTCCCATGCCTAACACACCTAACCAAAGCAACCCTGGGCACTATAGCATGGCCAGTCCACCTACGCTGCACATCTTTGGACTGTGGGAAGAAACCAGAGCACCTGGAGAAAACCCACACAGACCCGGGGAGAATGTATAAACTCCACAAAGACAGTCACCCGAGGCTGGAATCGAACCCGGGTCCCTGGTGCTGTGAGGCAGCAGTGCTAACCACTGAACCATCGTGCTGCCAAAATTAATTGCTTTGAAATTCTACTAGCTGTGGTGAGATTGAACCCATTTCAGCAGCACATTGGCCTGGGTCTCAGAATTACTAGTCCAGTAGACATTACCATGAGACCACTACCTTCCCCTAAATGATCGGAGATAAGGAGAAACGTCTTCAGCTGGAGAGTGGTGAATCTATGGAATTCATTGCCACAGAAAGCTGTGGAGACCAGATCATTGAGTATAATTAAGTCAACGATAGATAGGTTCGTGAATGTCAAGGGATTCAAGGGTTACGGGTAAAGAACAGGAGAGTGAAGTTGAGAAATTTATCATCCATGATTGAATGGCAGAGCAGACTCGATTAGCCGAATAGCCTAATTTCTGCTCTTATGTCTTGTGGTCCAAGAGGCCTAACCAATGTCCTTTAGAACCTCAACATGACTTTCAACTTCTATACTTCGAGGACTGAACAATGAAGGCAAGTGTGCTGAATGCCTTTTTAACCACCCTGTCTATATGTGATGCAAACTTCAAAGAATTATGTACCTGCACCCCTAGGTCCCTCTATTCTACACTACACAAGGCCCTACCATTAATTGTGTAAACCCTACCTTTGTTTGCTGTATCAAAATGCAGTACCTTGCATTTATCCAGATTGAACGCCATCTACCATTTTTCAGCCCATTGACCCACTTGATCAAGATTCCTTTGTAATCATAGAAAATCTGATTCACTGTCTACTCTGCCATCAATTTTGTCCGCAAACTTGCTAACCATGGTTTCTATATTCTCATCCAAATCATTTACATAAATGACAATCAAAAGATGACCCAGAACTGATCCCTGTGGAACACTGCTGGTGACAGGCCTCCAGTCTGAAAAGCAACCCTCCCCCCATTACACTGACTTAAGCCAATTATGTATCCAATTAGCAATTTCACCCTGAATCCCATGTCACCTAACTTTACTAATTACTCTACCATATGGAACCTCGTCAAAGGCTTTACTAAAATCCTAATAAACAGCATCTACTCCTCTGCTTTCATCAATCTTTTTGGTAACTTCCTCAAAAACTGAGTCAAGTTTCTGAGATGTGACTTTCTTCACACAAAACCATGCTGACTATCCCTAATCAATTTTTGCCTCTCTAAATGTCCATAAATCCTAACTTCCTTAATCACCTCCAACAATTTACCCACAACTGAAGTCAGACTCGCAGGTCTACAGTTCCCTAGTTTCTCCTTACAACCTTTCTTAAATAAAGGTACAACATTACAGTCATCAGGCACCTCACCTGTAGTTTGAGATGATGCAAATATTTCTGCAATTGGTCTCGTAATTTCCTCCCTTACTTCCTACACGATTCTGGGATACATTAGATCAGGTCCCAGAGATTTATCCACCTTTATATTCTCTAAGACCTCCCAAACTTCCTCTTCTGTAATATGAACTGTTTTTAAAACATCAAAGTTTATGACTGTTGTTGAATGGTGATTGAGGCCTCGGGAAGATCAGTCTATCAGGATGGAACTAGAATTAAAGTTTTTTATTTGAACCATGTTTTCTCAGAGATGGTTTTGGCTACAGCTGACAAAATAGCATGAAGAAAGCTCCCTGCCAAACTTGATACGCCAACTTCCAGAAGCCCAAAGCGTAAAACTTGAGTTAGAATTATTGTCACCTTGCCTGGGTGATCTAAGAAGGTAGCCCTGATTGACGTCCCAGAAAAAGCATTCAAGAAGTCTGCCTGTGAAACAGTGTATCGTGGAAGCGATTTAAATAATCTGGCCAGTTTTGTTATTTTCTTTTATTTATCCCTTATCTATATTTGTTTGTCCTGTCTGTCTTTTGTATGAATGGGGGGCTGAAAACAAATGTTTTAAGTTGGTTTAATATTCTCTGTTCCAAAGTTATTGTGTATCTAATAAATAGTTATCTCTTGTTTAAGATACGGGGCCGATGTCTGGAAATTAATTATTCAAAAGCCTGGGAAGGTTATGCAAAAGTCTGGCCAGGAACCATTGGAGCGACTATTTGGTGGTGTTCGGTTTAATTTTACTGGGTTACGAATATAGAGGTAGAAAGGCTAATTTGGGTTCAGCTGTCTGTTTCCTTGTCGTAACAACTGTCTTGCAGTGATCATAGAATCCCTACAGTGTGGAAACAGGCCCTTTGGCCCAACAAGTCCACACCGACCCTTGCAGCATCCCACCCAGACTCATCCCCCTGAACACTCCGGGCAATTTAGCATGGCCAATCCACCTAGCCTGCACATCTTTGGACTGTGGGAGGAAACCGGAGCACCCGGAGGAAACCCACGCAGACACGGGGAGAATGTGCAAACTCCACACAGACAGTCGCCCGAGGCTGGAATTGAACCTGGGTCCCTGGCGCTGTGAGGCTGCAGTGCTAACCACTGAGCCACCGTGCCGTGGTTACCATAACGCTTTCTTCTCACCCAAAATATTACTTGCACATTTTTTAAATACCAAACTGAGATCTTTTACGCTCAAAGTACATTTATGATTAATGGCATCATTCAAATTGTTGTTGACATTTTGAACATTCTGTCCAACAGGGTGAACCAAGATGGCGCCCAATCTGGATTGGGCTCAATTAATGAAAGTCGATCCAGACTCGTTGCCGAGTCGAGAGAAACTGGCAGATAAGTTGTTGGATACAATATCCAAGGTATCTCTATTTGTTTCAGTTTGCAGTTTAGTAACTATAATTATTTTTTGCAATTAATAATTTTATCAATAATGGTGAGTTTCTGTGCATAGGTTGAAGGAAATGAATTGACGGCAGAAGACCCAGAGAAGCTGATTCAGCTTTTTCGGCTCACCCAGTCCTTAATGAAGGTTTGTATTTAAAGATGCTTCTTTGTTTCTCCAATACTGGAATGAATGTTTATTAATAAAAGTAGAAAAGAAATATATTCATGCGTCATAAACAAGACTCGGGACATTTACAGAAGATTTAACTAATGGGATAATTAATTAAGTAACAGCCGATTGTTGCTATTCCATGAAGCAGCTAATTTTCACCTGGAGTAACTTATCAGGAAGAATTTAGCCTGATAATACTGTCTTTAAAATAATGTTATTGATATGACAAGAAGTGTAACTGGGAGAAATCTGGATCTTCTGGTTGTAAATTTTAAAGGTCTGTGGAACTAAAGCAAACAAAAAGTGTCAGCATTGATAATCTGAAACAAAATTTAAATGAGTCTGGAAGCAATTAGCAAGTAAATCAGTATCTGTAGAAAGAATAGACAAGTTGACATTTCAAATGTGGGACTTTTACCAGAATTGGAGGAAGTTGAAAAAACAGAACAGAATGGGAGAAAACCCGTAAACACAAGCGTATGTGCACCATGTGTAAAATGATTAAATGAAAATAAGAGATGAGTAATTGGATGAAGTAATATTAACATGACATTGGGGTTGTAATGGTCCAAATTGAAGTTATTCACAAGCCACGTTTAAATGGGAGGCAAGGGATGGGGGAATGGATTTCTGGAAATATCATAGGTAATCTCAAACCCCAGCTGATGAGTTCAAATTCCATCCTGTCAGATGGCGAAATTTGAATTCAATAACAAGCCAATCCAATGGTGGCCATGTAATTATTGATTATTCTAAAAAGCTTTCTGGTTCTCTGATGCCCTTTCGGGTGTGAACTCTCTCATCCTTACCTGGACTCAGACCCACAGCAATGTAGTTGAGTTTTGACTGCCCCTGGGAAATTAGAAGTGGTGCATAAAAGCCAACAACACCCACATCCCATGAATTAACCAAAAAAATATAAAAATAGTCCTGGTGATACCCGCTTTTCATTGATAGTTATGTCTTCTGCTGCCTGTGCCATCATTTTGGAAGTCCTTCCTTCAGTCCTCATCTCTACTTTGCTTTCCTCCTCTACAATGCTCCTAAATACCTGTATGTCCAATATTTTATGGGCCAGTATCATATTTTGTTTTATAATCCCCGATGAAGTGCTTTGTGGCTTTTTGTAATGTTAAAGGTGTTATTTAAATACAAGTTGTTGGTCCTCTTAATACATATATGAATGTATATGGCCAAGAGTTGGTGGTTCACTGACCACATATGGAACCAGCACGCAGTAGTAAAGAATTGGTAATAGCGGGGCAGGGAGGTAAAGTAGTAATAACTCAAAAAGATAACCTGTTTAATTTCAGAATCATTATGAATAACTTGCCTATAATTAGTATGGTAGTCCAAATTAATGCAGTACTTTTCTACAATTCTGTATCTAATCTAATGTTCATTTGATAGATAAACCAGGTGCAAAAGGTAGTTGCAGAGCCTTTTGTTAGTAAGTGTTTTTACTAAAGAGTAAAAATATGGTTACACAGCAGCATAAGAAAAGTTGAAAAATGAATTATATTGGATGGAAGGCACATGGTTAATTCAGTTTGAATTTATTCTATGATTGTTAAAGTTCACCTTGATCTGGATTTATATGCGTGATCAAGATGTTATATGTCTTTAAATTATATACAGATGAAAGCACAAGAGGTTGAGTTGGCTCTTGAAGAAGTTGAAAAAGCAGGGGAAGAACAAGCCAAGACAGGTAAGTCACTGTTTTGTAGTCAGTTTGTTTTTCCCTGTATGCTTAGTGTTACCTTTCAGGTTGCTGTGAACAATTAAATGTATGCATTTATTTGTTATTTATTTTCTCCCTAGAAAACCAGCTGAAAGCAAAAGTTCTTAAGCTAGAAAATGAACTGGAGGTAAGTGTGAACTTTTATTGTCTTCCTTTAAGTAATGTTAGTACATAGATAAGGGGAAGGATTTAGAAAGGATCTAAGGGGCAACTTTTTCACGCAGTTGGTGTGTGTGTGGAATTGGTTGCCAGAGGAAGTGGTGGAGGCTGGTACAATTATAACATTTGAAAGGCATCTGGATGGAAATATGAATAGGAAGGGTTTAGAGGGATATGGGCCAAATGCTGGCAAATGGAACTAGATTAATTTTGGATATCTGGTTGGCATGGACGATTTGAACCGAAAGGTCTGTTTTCATGCTGTTATGACTCTATAGATAAGCTTCAGGTCGAAAGCTCAGAAACAGACCATTTTTCCACCTGGTCATGCCAGCTTTATAAAAAAAAAATTCTCCCACACCTTTTCATCTAAACAAACCATGCTGAACCAAATACTTCAATAAATCCTTTGGGTTTTATGGATACTTACTAAGACATTGGAGCAGAAGAAGGCCATTCAGCCCATTGAGTCTGGTCTGCTATTTAATCTGATCATGGCTGATCTGATTACCCTCAATTTCACTTTCCTGCCTTTTCCCCGTGACCCTTGATTCCCTCATTGATTAAAAATCTGTCTATCTCAACCTTGAATATTCTTAATGATGCAGCCTCAACAGCTCTCTGTGGTAAAGAATCCCGAAGAATCACAAACCTCTGAAAAAAGAAATGCCTCTTTAGCTCTGTCTTAAATGTGCAACCCCATTTTCTGAGATTATACCCTGTGGTTCTAGGCTCTCTCACAACAACCTTTCTGTGTCCACTCTGTCACATCCACTGAGAATCTTGTATGTTTTAATAAGGTTTGCCCTCATCTTTCTATATTTCAAAGTGTGCAAATCCAACCCACTCAACCTTTCCTCTTCTGAAAATCCCTCCATACCTGGGATCAAGCTCGTGAACTTTTTCTGGACTGCCTCCAATGCCAATCTACCTTTCCATCAACAAGGGCCACAAAACTATTCACAGTATTCCAGCAGTAGTCTGACTAGTGCTTTGTATAGTTTTAACAAAACATCCCTAATGTTATACTCCATTCACTTTGAAATAGAAAAAATGTGCTTTACTATCGGCTTAAATATGAACTCGCATCTTTTGAGCCAGTAACTTGTGGGAACAAGCCGCAGTCCAGTATTTGAGCATCTAATTTCAGGCTGGCACTTCAGCTGAGGCAGTTGTCCATTATTTGAGACACTGTTTTCAGATAAAATGCTAAACTCAGCTCATATTTGATTGTGGAAGACTAATAGATTACAAGATTCCAACTGACCAACATTTTCCGTGGACACCAGAGTTTGACAATCTAATTTGCAGTTTTTGAGATGCTGTACAAAAATTGCCTCTGTGTTTGTCAAATGATAGCAGTAAATATACTTCAGAAGGTACTTATTAGCTGTGAAGTAGTATCCAGTAGGTTTCAGGTAGGTTTAACATTTCTCAAACTCACTGCTCCATGCGTGTGTAGAATTTTATATATATGTCTGCACATGTACAATATAGGGATTGGTTAGCTCAGTTAGCTGAATAGCTGGTTTGCAATGCAGAGTGATGCCAGCAGCTTGAGTTCAGTTGTCACACCTGCTGAAGTTACCATGAAGGACTCTCCTTCTCAACCTCTTCCTTCCTTGAGACATGGTGACCCTCCAGTTAAGCTGCCACAAGTCGCGTCTTTCGAATGTGAGAGCAGCCCTATGGTTCGCTAGGTCTATGCAAGCCAGGCATTTTATCTTGTGTTTGACTTAAAAATAGGAATAAAAAGAGAGAGCCAAGCATTTATATAGCAAATCTATCCCCCTGGATGTTAGAAGGCACTTTAGAGTGAATTAATACTGAAGAAGTCAGAAGTGTCATGTAGGAAAGTCTTGAAATTTAGGAAACATGACAGCTAATTTACACACAGTAAACTCCCACAAACAGCAATGTGATATTGACTAAGTAATCTTATTTCATACAGTTGGTTGAAGAATAATTATTGCTCAAGATTCTGGGGATATCTCCCCAAATTTTGTTTGAAATGTTCGCCTGAGGGAGTAAGTGACACTTTGGTTTAACATTTCATCCAAAAGACAGTCCCTCCAAAAATTTTACGCTCCCTTAATATTGCACTGGAGTGTCAGCCTACACTTTTGTGCTTTAGTCTCGGAGGTGGAAATTGAGGCCATAGCTTCCTGAGTTGGGAGTCAGTGCTACCAATTGAGCTACAGTTGATACCGTGCATCTGATAACTTCCAGTCTGCAAAAGGAATTCATTTCCTAATCTGCAGCTATCCTTAGCATGTGCAAATAAGCAACTGACCTTTGTGATCTTAAAGGGACAAGCCAAATGATGCAGGTTGCACCACTACGGCAGAGTAGTACTTCATAGTTGGCAAATACTCAACAGTGTGACTTATGGACATGGCCAAGAGACAGCTGCTATAATTTTACTTTTTTTTAATGTTTGAATTATTCTCTGAATGGCAACTGTACCTCTGCAGAATTGTTATATTTCATGGTAAACATGGGACAATTTTTGGCACATGTCATGGAAATGGAATGACACAGGCTTTGTTCCCATCCATGCATATTCTGGTGTGCGATGTTGATATGACTCATACTAAAAGATTTTCACTGCACATGTCATTTCTATATTTCTATGTCAGTTTATTGTGACTTGAATTGCTTACGTATTCAGAAGTGAGCAATGCTCCATTTTGTTTCTGTCCCAGATGGCTCAAGTGAGTGCTGGTGGGCGTGATACCCGATTCTTGCGAGAAGAACTTCGTCAAGTGGAAAACCAACTGCAGTTCAAAGACCGGGAGGTTTCAGAGATGGAGAAAGAGCTAAACAAGGAAAAGAAAATTGTTGAGCAAGTATGGAAACTGAGCCGGGGGCAACACCAGATGCAATGTGCTGTCATAATTTTCTCTGTTCGTCTTTTAAATTGGACTCAATTCGCGAAAAGAAATTGATTAGAAAGACTTGAAATTAGACTTTACAATTTCAAAACAGGCCATTCAGCCCAACTAGTCTATGCCAACCTCCTTTCATGAACGTGAACTTCCTTTTGCCAGCCACCCTCTCCATCCCACTTAATCAACATAACTTTCGACTCCTTTCTCCTTTGTGTATATCTTGCTTCATCTAAGTACATCTGTGCCATTTGCCTCAATCACTTGCATGAGTTGCCCATTCTCACATTCTCTGGATGAGGAAGTTTATGGACTGGAACGCTCTGAATGCATCCCAGGGTTATATGTGATTAAATGAAAGCATAAAGTTTCAGGATATAATCAGCATCAAATGCAGGGGTAGGCTTGCCGTAGGAGAAATTTCACACTATTACACCTGTGATATATGTGACCCCATTTTTCAATGGAGTGCCATGCCCTTTGAATGCTACTTATAACCCCTGGTTGTGTCAGGGAAGAGTTCATAGCTGCATAGAGTATGGTGTGACATATCCAGATGAATGCTTTCAACAGATATTTCTACATGAGAAAACCTAACAATTGAAAGATATTCTTACTTCAAATATCTGGCTCAAACACCAAAGTATGATAATGCAATGTTCACTGTTCATTGAACTGGAATATGATGACTGAAATATTCTGTTTTGAGCTGCAGATTTTCATCAGTTCATTTTAATAGACAGGGCTAGGAAATGGTGGGCTGTTGAGTCATGTGGTCCAAAAGCGACAACTTTTATCTCAGTTTTGAAATGTGCACAGTTCAAGATTCAAGATTCCATCACTGCTTTAAAGAGAATCCCCAAATTCTGTGAAATTTGGTTAGTATGGTTATTGGGCAGTGCAAATACATGACTAATAAATTTGCTGGCTATTGTGTATTGCAGGCACCACACAACAAATTATTCTGCCCATTGTCTTAAGGATTAGATTCTCAAAGTTACTAAGCCTTGCAAATGAGCTAGGGAAGTTTCCTTACTGCGCAGTTCCAGTGGTAGTGTAGAACAGTTGTTCAAAATATGTTAACCAACTTTAATACTCTTAAATTCCCAACTGTAGCACAGCAAATTGCACAGCGACAGGTATTGAGAGTCAGAGACAGGAGGATTTGTTCTTGCAAGCTGTTGCTCTTTGCACGAGAAGTTCCATGATCTGAAACAACTCCCAGGCTGCATTGTGCAATGTCTGAGAAGTCACAGGGGCCTAGTTTTGGCTCATATCCCAGAGATTATCTAGTTTTAATCCATCCCTCCCAAGTACAGCTAGACAATGTTCTGTTACAAGATGGTTGTTTGGGCCTACATTGTGTCTTTGGAATCTGGGAAATGACAGAGACGAAGAAAATAATCTTGTAAACTACTTAGATAGCAACAATCTCGTGTAAATGCCTGCATATGTATGCCACCAAAGTTATACCATATTTATTACTAGTCCATGCTAAGTCCCCATGCTTCAAGTCCTTTGTTCATTTATCATGTTTGCCCCTAACCAAGCACAGCAGAGAGGAAGCTGCAGACCTCTTGCAAGAACCGTTGTGAAACACCCTTTCTGCATGGTCACATAGATTAATATATCATTTTAGAAAATTAATAATGCAGTTAAATTTTCTACAACTCACCTAAGTTCTCTCAACATCGATGGGGAGTTTGCTGGTTGCAACCTGCAAAAAAAGGGATAATTTCATAATGTAGTAACTGCTTAATTTTGTTTACGGCACCAGAAAGCTACTTATAATTGTTCCTAGGCTGCTCACATTTTCGATATTATACAGTACAGAAATTTACCTTTTTATTGTGTTCTTTAGGTGGGAATTCGAATCAAGGAGATAGAAAATGAAAACAACAAACTAAGAAGAGAGGTTAGTGATGAAAACACACAAATCTAATTGTGGATAATGATTAAATGAAAAACATATATTTGCAGGTCATTATAACAATTTCAGGTTCTTTACTTTTTTGAGTTTTGCTTGTTTACCTTTTGTTGCTGTCTCATTAATGATTTTCTCACTAAAATGTTTGTCCTTGCTAACATGACTGTCTTAGTCTTTCCTTTCTCATTCACTTTTCTTTGTCAAAGAAAAAAAGACTTAAAAGAGAGGTAAGAGCATCATAAAAATGCCTGGCTAAATAACTGATGATCACTATTATTAGTGCAATTAGACTACATCATTATTGGTTTCGAGAATGTGTGTCAGTTATCTTGTGGATGAAATGACTATAAATCATCTGGATTATTGATACTTTTTGCAGAATGATCAACTACGCCAAGATGTTGTTGACTATCAGAAACAAATAGATTCTCAGCGGGAGACTCTCCTTAATAGGAGAGGAGATGATTCAGACTGCAGAATACAGCTGTCCAAAAAGAACAAGGAACTTGCACAATATTTGGATGAAATTCAGGTACTTCATATTTTAAAATATTCCTCTGCATTTTCTAGCGAGTTATTCCATCTCGTATTTATTTTCTTTGATGGGATGAGGGTGTCACTGACACTTGTTGCCCATCCCTAATTGACCTTGAACTGAATGATTTGCGAGGTCATTTCACAGAATTGTTAAGCGACAACCACAACTGTGGGTCTGGAGTCAGATGTAGGCCAGACTAGGTAAGGACGGCAGGTTTCCAGGTCATGAGATGGGTTTTTACAACAGTTAGTGATTGTTGTCATGATCCCATGATGTCATGATTACTGAGACTAGAATTTCAGCTTTACTAATTTAATTTAATTTAAATTTCACCTATATCCCGGGGAATTATGCTGAGTCTGTATGTAACGAGTTTAACAATGTTATCACCACACCATCATCTTCCACGTATGTGAATGTGTCTATATTTTTACAATTCCATGGATGTCTTGTTTTATCTAAGAATAAGGGAAACCACGCTTCTTGGGTAAGGGAATCTGCTACCCCGTCTCATCCAGTTTAATCTAACTATGATGGTCTGCATGGTTGCCTCTTAATGTCATTTAGACAGCTGAAGGCAGAATATTTTTGAAGGGTCTTGTGGATTTTGGCCACCAGTTGGTGAGCCTGTGACAGCCAGCCCACCACCAAGGGCTCCTGACCAATCTTGAGCTGGCAGCTTGTTTTTACACAGCAGCACCAACATATTGTAGGTGTCTGCTGCTGGTACTGCACCTACATGAGGCCTCGGATTGCATTGCATCAGTGAGTGATGGCAGGTCACAGGCAAGGTTGATTGGCAACAAGGGAAATGAGTTTCAATCGGCTGTTCCTTTCGCAATTCCAGGTCCCTCCACCGGACACTGAATGCCTTTGAAGAGGAAGCCTCCAGACTGAAGCCTATGAGTAAATATGCCAGATTTGCTCATCATGCTTCTCACGTGTCAAGCCCTATGCCCATCGCTGGTTCAACACCAGCAGCAATGGGATGAGTAACTCAACACGTCCACTTTGGCTGATGGAAAAACCAACCACTGGCCTCACAGCGTGGACTTAATTGGACGCTCCTGCCTGATTAAATGCCCCTTCCACCAGCAAAGATGCCGTGGAGGAGGGATTAAAACTTTTCCTTCAGTTGTAAAGAATTGGCCACAATAAAGGTAGCTACTGTCAGTATGTTATCTGGGTAACCAAAGATAGGCAATAAATATTACTCATTTCACCTTGAGTTTTGAGGGATATGTCGATATAGGGCAGGAACATTTGGTTGGGATAGGTTAACCTTGATCTTATTGAAAGGTGGAGAAGACTTAAGATGCTGTATGGCTTACTCCTGTTCCTATTTCTTACATCTTTATGTCACATATATCACATTAATAAACAAAATGCATAACAAATTGAGACTGTTGGTGCTTTTACTGATTAACACCTTTCACAGTGAAGGTTGCAGAGCCTTCCAGACTAAGTCTTTGATAATTGAGATCATGCAAGTGTACACAATATTCTTCACCAACTGTGTGGTTCAATTTTTAGAAAGACAAGGCTATGCTCTTCGGCAGCAAATTGTTGATTACAACTATTGAATTATTGTGGTTTTCTTTTCCACGTCTAGAATTTGTCTGAAGCCAATGAAAAGCTGGAGGCACAGAACAAACAGTTGCAACAAAAACTGGAAGAGTCCGTGCAAGAGATGGACAAGATGACTGATGAATACAACAAAATGAAACTGATCGTGCAGCAATCTGACAGCGCTATGGATCAATTCAAACGAGAAAAGGGGCAGCTGTTGCTTCAGGTAAGGGGAAGACTTACTTCCATTAATCATAACAAATTGAATCAATTAACGATATCAAATCACTGGCCTCTGGACTTTGAAAACCCAAATTAAGTTTCTACTTGTGGCTGATGTTCATGTTATGGCCTCTGAAGGTTGAGGTTGGCAGACTCAACTAGGCCTTTGTAGGAAGGGCAAGAATTGCAGTCTCAATAGAAGCCTGCCTTGAGAGCAGACTACTTTTCTACTATGCGCAAATCAACAAACCAAACACTTAGTACCATCTGCCTGATACGCCAACATTCAGAATCAATGTGAGTTAAAATTGAATTTATAGGCAAATTGTGGTCAAATGTAAATTTAAATTGTGCATTAAATGACAGATCTTACAAACTGGCTCTGTAACCCAATGAGATTTTACTGATCACACTCTGTCACAAAGCCCTTCAAACTCTGTCTTTCAGAGACAATTCAGCTTCTTTCCTTGGAGTTAGTCTGATCACAGCTGAAAGCAGTGCATAACCAACCCAAGTTCCACAGGCAACGTGTTTGCCGTAAATGGCATATGTCTGTAGGCCTTTCTCAACTTAATGTGAATGGGGTAGACCTAAAATATTACCTTCTGGTAACAAAATAGCTACAGCAATTTATTCTCTGCTCCAATCTGGACACTCTTCTTCAGTCTTCCCTGTTCTGTGCCACTGGATTTATCTACTATTGATTGATTGGAACTATTGATCCAAGATTTTTATATCTTTTAAACAGGGTCAGTTTGCAGTTTTGACATCAAAACTTATGTTTGTTTTTGCTTTCATTATAAACTCAGAGTCAATTTTATTTCTACGTTTACCTTATTCTTCCTTTTCAGTTCAGTTTCTGTTTTAATTGCAGTCTGTCTCAAACAAATACAAATTCAGTTTAAAAAGCAAGCTTAAGAATATTCTGCGGGGAGAAGCACTGTTCCACACTGTCAAATGACCATCCTGATCAGTCAGCTAAATTTTTCATGTTACTCAATGCTTTTATAGGCTAAATTGTGTCAATGGTGAAGTTTGATCAAAGGTGGAAGGAGAAATGCCTTATTTGAGAATGAGAAGTAATGCTGAAAAATGGCTGGTTGACTATAAATGGAGGGAAAGGCAAGTTGGGGACGGCTATTAATCTTTTATTATTTTTACCTCCCATTCCAAAACAGGTTACTTGCTTGTATTGAAATTTAAGCATAGGATGTTTTATATAAGTATGACACTAGCTGAACTATTGCACTGAAATACAGAAGGTGCCTAAAACAATGTGTTGTTATTCTCTTGAAATGTATCCAGTTGTATGATGTCAAAGTTATTTTAAGATTATTAAGTTCATATAGTTTAATTTAAAAAGGATGTTTAAGCAAGGTTAGCCTTAAGGTTCATGAAAGGATTGTTAATCAACACATTTTTTGTTGGGTGAAATCACAAGAGATGTGGAGAGGTACTGAGCTGCATGCAAAATGAAATTCAATTGGACATTTACTAATCAAGAAGGAAATTAATAGAGAGGGAGACCGAGGAAATGCCTCAAAAAGATTAGTGATCCATGTTTTTTTAAATTAACTTTCATAAGTGACCAGTTATGGTAATTAGCTTTGTTTTCAAAGCCTCTGAGTTGATAGTCCATTTCCGTAGCCCTGACCTGACTGTGCTTAGACCAGGCAATAAGATAGACAGAAGTCAGAGCAAGGGTATTTGTATCAAGTGGCACAAGCATGAGAAATGAACTTTCAGAATAAATTGCAACATTTGGTCTTTGAATGGCCACCAAAGACTTGGGGAGAGACAACTCTCTCCTTGTACTGAATCATTTTATACATTTTATAATCTGGTGTTGGACATCATGGTTTCATGATGAGTATGTATTTTTCTGTATGTATCTCAAATAAATCTGATTATTAGTCTTAACCTAAATAAGATGGCCCACCAATGTATTATTTATCATCTTTGGGTGTCGGTTAGCTTGGTTGGATGGTTTGCAATGCAGAGAGATGCTAACAGTGTGGGTTCAATCCCTGCACTGACCTGAAGGACTTTATTTCTCTCCCTCTCCCCTCATCTGAGGCATGGTTGGGAGAACTACCACCAGTCATTGCTCTGTAATGAGAGGAAGCCCGATGGTCTGGTAAGACTCTGACGATTTTTCCTTTTTTATTTACCACCTTGATGTAAGCATGCCATATTACAGATGTAAAGTATTAAGATTAAAGGATAATTATTAACTCTGTGGCATGCTGTCCTTCATAGAGTCATTGAGGTCTACAGCATGGAAAAAGGCCCTTCACCCAGTTTTCAGTTCACACAAAATGTGGTCTGCTTGTGGAACACAGATGAAGGTGTTGGCAGAAAATCAAATCTGTCATGAGAGCCATAAAATACTTGATGAAATAGAGAAGGTGACCCTATATCAATGGTTTAGATATGTAGCAAGGCAACAGCATTAGAGATTCAGTATGGTGCATGGCAAACTTAAAATATGCATCACAGACTGTGATCCACTCCTAAAGCGCGATTCACACAGATTTATTTAAGGGCAAGATATTGGACTTTTTCTTTAAAACAAAAGCCAGGTAATATGCTGTGAATGTGGTAGGCTTTATTAATCTGGAATTTTGAAGTTAACTCAGTTGAAAACTCTACCTCTGAATTCAAGCTATTTCTGCCAACACTGTCATATCATTCCTATAAACAGGTGCAAGATCTGGCCAACCAGCTGCAAGCCACAACTGAAGAAGATGATCCTGTGATGTTGGCAGTAAATGCAAAGATTGAGGAATGGAAGGTAAATGTCACTGCTTGTTTGAAATTGATCTTCTAATTAGCAATGGCATCTAAGATTTTAAGGCTATTTTTGAACTTTTACAGAAAGTATTGTCTGCCAAGGATAAAGAAATCAGCGAGTATCAACAGAAACTGCAAGAACTTCGAACTAAACTAGTAATTGCTGAGTTTGATAGTGATAAGAGCAGCGTCATTACTCTCCAACAGGTATGCCAATTGGTCAAATTTTAATTTCAACCCCTTCCATTTTAGTAATTTCTTACGTAAGCCATGCTTACATTACTATTAGACTTATTTTTCACCTGTTTCACTGTAAACTATTCTTAAAATCTAAAAATGTGTTTGCCTTCAACCTTTTCAATTGCTGTCCTTCAATCGTGGTTATCTTTAGATTATAGAAGAACTCTAAGTAGTAAGTACATTTCTATTGCTGTACAATTAAATGGATCACAATTTTCCTTCACTCACCTTCTGTAACTTGTCTCCTTTCTGTTTTATTTTCTTTCCAAAAAACACTCTGTTTAGCTACTAACAATTCTCTGTGCAATTCTTTGTAATGTGCAAAATCACATTACAAAGGATGAACAACATTAAAATTGGTCATTTAGTTATAACGTTTTGGATAACAATTGGAGAAAATTACAACATATTTGAAAATTGCTTTCCTTTCCATTATGTTGTTTTCACTTCACCTAATCTGCCCAGCAGTTTGTTTTAACTTTCAAATAAACATTCAGTCAGGATGCTTTTCCAACAAAAGTGTTCAGGTTTATACTTTGGGTGAATACTATGACAAAGAATCACTTTATGATAGTTCTTGATTTTCGATTATGGTATTTGAATTTTACTTCACAGCTTTGCAGTAATGGAGCAAATGTCTGTATTTTGTATACTACCATCTTTGATATTTATGACACCTTTGGAATAATTTTGCAAAAGGCTGCAATTGTGATCAACACCACTGCTAGGTGGAGTACTGCATGTGCAAAATCGGAGCGATGCTTTTCAACCCACAACCAGCGGCAAAGCTCTGTTTATCAAACAAATCACTCAATCTTAGGCTTGATACACAAACAACTACAAGGCATATCTTCCAATGTTCTTGGAATCCAGTCAACATGAATAACTGACGGAATCTGTAGAGAAAAATTCAAAATTGAAATTGATGTTTATCTGTGCCTTATTAAGTTATGACCACGCCAAACAATAACCATCTTCAACAAAATAATTATTTTGACACTGTTAGAAGTGATGCTGTGGTTAAAGGTATTAGATACTGTAAAGATCTTAACAGAATTCTGGAAATCATACTGAAGACTTGTGCTTCGAAACTACCTAAGCCCCCCGTTAAGCTCCAGTTGTTGTTCCAATACAACACTGCCAATTATTTGGCATTGTGGGCAATTGCTCAAGTATGTTCTGTCCACAAAAACATGACAAACCCAACTTGACTGATTACTGCCCTATCAGCCTACCCTTGATCATCAACAAAGTGAGCAAAGGTCTCCTTGATAGTGCTACCATGCAGCACTTGCTAAGAAGTAACATGTTTATTGACACTCAGTTTGTGTTCTGCCAGACCTACTCAACTCCTGACTGCATTACAGCCTTGTCCCAAACATGGACAAAAGCTGGATTCCAGAGTTGTGGTAAGAGTGATTGTTCTTAGCACAAGGCAACCTTTGACCAAGTAAGGCAGTCGGGAGCCCAGGCAAAACTGGAATAAATGGGAAACAGTGAGAAAACACTCTGGAACAAAAACAAAGTTGCTGGAAAAGCTCAGCAGGTCTGGCAGCATCTGTGAAAGAAAAAACAGAGTTAACGTTTCGGGTCGAGTGACCCTTCCTCAGAACTCTCTGCTTGTTGGAGTTATGTCCAGCATTATGGGAGATGGTTGTGGCTGTTGGAAGTCAATCATCACAGTCCCTTGGCCCAACAGTCTTCATAAATGACATTCCCTTCATCACAATGTCAGAAGTGGGGATGTTTGCTGATGGTTACACAATGTTCAGCACCATTTGTGACTCCTCAAATATGAAGCAATCCATGTCCGTGTGCAGCAAATCTAGACAATATGCAGTCTTCAGCTGATAAGTGGCAAGTAACATTTGTACCACTCAACAACCAGGCAGTGAGCATCTCAAGGAAGAGAGAATCTAAATACCATAGCATTCAATGGTACTATCGTCACTCAATCCTCAACTCCCAAGATACTGGGTGTGGCTGGGGGTGGGTGGGGTGCATTACCACTGACTAGAAACTGAAATGGACCAGCCATACAAATACTGTAGCTACAAGAGTGGGTCAGAGGCTAAGAATTTTGTGGTGGATTTATCACCTTTGGCCTCTCCAGTGGTTTAATTCTTCAATTCCCTGAAAAAAATAAAATTTTTCTAAATATGAAGATCACGACTTGTTGCCTGGTTATAAGCGATTCCTGCCAATAATGGACAACTGTAGGCTTTAATGGTTTTCTTTGGCTTAATTCTTAACATGTCTCTTCTCACAACAAGATTCTTTGCCCTCTGTTTGATGTAATTGTTGGTTTGAACTTGTCTTGGGCATCGGCCTTTGTGAACTTGACTAAATATGCTACTGTCACAATACGTTATTAAGTTCTGCTACACACATTATGATCTTTTTAAAATCATTTTTTCTTGTTTGTATTTCTGTTTATTCCTCGTGTGCAGTTATTGCCGTATAATCCAAGGCTTTACTACTAAAAAGTGAATGGGATAAAAATGTTTCTTTACAGGTTCTGCAAGAACGTGACGATCAAATTAAGGCTCTGGTGGGACAAATAGAACAGTACACCAAAGAAGCGAATCATAATGTACAAATCATTGAAGACTTGAAAATGCAGCTAGAGAAAGAATCAAGTACCAGTCTACATGAACTTTATTGTATATAATCTGAAGCAAATAAAGTAACATTCAAGCAAGGAACAAGAGTAGGCCACTCAGCCCTTTGAACCTGCTCTGCCATTCAGTAAGATCCTGGCTGATCTGATTTGAACCTCAACTCTACATTCCTGCGTATCCCCAATAATCTTCCATTCCCTTTGTAATCAAGGACCTATTTACCTATACTTTGAAAATATTTAAAGATTTTGCAACCACTACCTGTTGAGAAACTCCAGAGACACTCAACCCTCTGAGGGGAAAGAAAAGGTTCTTCATCTCCTGTCTTAAATGGGCGACCCCTTGTTTTTAAACTATGGTCCTTAGTTCTAGATTCTCCCGTAAGAGGAAATATCCTTTCCATATCCACCTGGTCAAGCCTATCAGGGTCATATATGTTTCCATTAAGTCACCTCTGACTCTTCTAAACATCAGAGGATACAGCTCTAGCCTTCATAAGGCAGATGGAGATAGCAAGAACTGCACATGCTCGAGTCAGAGTCGATACAGTGTGGAGCTGGAGGAACACAGCAGGTCAGGCAGCATCAGAGGAGCAGGAGAGTTGACGTTTCGAGCCTAGACCCTTCTTCAGAACTGGGGAGGGGAAGGGAGCTGAGAAATAAATAGTGGAAAAGGGGAGGGGGAAGGTAGGTGGATGCAGGTAAGGGGTAGTGGGGATTGATCAGTGGGGAGGGTGTGGCGGATAGGTGGGGAAGGAGATGGACAGGATAGTGTCAGGTCAAGGAGGCGGGGATGAGAGGGAGGGTTGGACATGGGATGAGGCCGGGGATGGGGAGATTTTGAAACTGATGAATTCTATGTTTAGGCCATTGGGCTGTAGGCTCCTGAGGTGGAATATGAGGTGTTGTTCCTCCAGTTTGTGTATGGCGTCACTGTGGCACTTGAGGAGGCCCAGGATGGACGTGTCACCCAGGGAGTGGGAGCGGGAGTTAAAATGGTTGAGGACTGGAAGGTGTTGTTGATTATAGTGTATGGAGTGCAGGTGCTCCACAAATCTGCACCGAGTCTGCAAGAAACCTCCTATCACTCACCCTCCTGCATGGCACTTCCTCTCACCCACCCTCCTGCAACTCACCTCCTCTCACCTACCCTCCTGCAAGCTCCATATCCGGTAACCGTCTCTGCACTGGCATCTATTTCAAACCCACCGGCTCCCAGAGCTGTCTTGACTACACCTCCTGTCACCCACCTTCTTGCAAGAATGCGATCCCTTACTCCCAAATTCTCCGCCTCCGCCGCATCCGCTCCCAAGATGGAGCGTTCCACTCCCGCACAACCCAAATGTCTTCCTACTTCAAGGACCGTAACTTCTCCCCTCCGGTGATTGAAAATGCCCTCAACCGCATCTCTTGCATTTCCCGCACTTCTGCCCTTAAACTTCTTCCCCCCCAACAAAAATAAAGACCGAGTCCCCCTGGTCCTCACATAGCACCCCACCAACCTCTGCATCCAGCGTATCCTCCGCCACTTCCACCACCTACAATCTGACCCCACTACCAAAGAGATATTTCCCTCCCGACTCCAATCTGGCTTTCATAGGGACCGCTCTCTCTGTGAATCCCTCATCCACTCCACACTCACCACCAACCCCACCACTCCCGACACCTTTCCCTGTAACCGCATGAGGTGCTACACCTGCCCCTACACCTTCCCTCTCACCTCCATCCGAGGCCCAAGACAGACTTTCCATATGCAACAGGAGTTCACCTGTACATCCTCCAACCTGGTTTACTGTACCCATTGCTCCCATTGGGGCCTCCTCTCCATCAGTGAGACCAAACATTGACAGATTTGCACTCCATACACTATAATCAACAACACCTTCAGATTGCTAAACCT